GAAGGGCCTAGTTTTGTTTAACAGAAGTAGGATGACCCAAGGTCCGAGGTGAGCGAAAATTAACTTGGCAGCGGGAAATGATGTCACAGAAGACCCAACTCGGAGCCGTCTGCCCGTCCCGCCTTCCAGACTGGAATGCAGGTGACCGGCTCTGTGCTTGGCTCGAGACTTGACAGGATACTGCTCGTAACCGAGACCAGTGGCGCGTCTGCTGCCGCCTCTGAGTCGGACTGCCAGTTTAAAATGTGTCTGGTGCTGAGTACTCTGTGGGTTAATGGTTGATTACAACGCGGGACAGTAAAAGGCTGTAAGGAAGCTGTATCGCAGCTGTCGCATTATTATTGAATGATACCCAGTTGTTTGTGGTGGAATGTTCTTCACAAGCTGTAGGGGTCGTGACTATGAGTGTTTGCTTAGGGTATTAAGATTTTCTGATAAGTCCCTCTTCCTCAATTTTTTCTCATACCGTAGGTAGATATAGTTGCATGGCAGCGAACCAAGAGTTCAAATGGCTGATAATGACGATAAGACAGAATCATACTTCACACCAAAAAAGTCATCCGAGGTTTGTACACACAGCTGCATCCTCGCCCGCATACCGCTTTACAGACATTCAATTAAACTTTACAACATTTCGCGGACAACCAACTTACCCAACACGTCACAATGCTTCGCAGTTCACACGTATCAAATGCCTTGGGGAAGTCAACAAAAAGCGAGTACAATGGCTGGTGTCGCTCTCTGGACTCCTCATGCACAGACGAACCTACGAACACTATATGCTCTGGTAGCTGCGGAAACGAACGGGAAAAACGGCCACATTTACTCTTCCGCCACGTTCGGTTCCACTACCTGACTGACCGATGTGCGGCTGATAAAGGGTTCAGTGCGATACACCTTCCTCATACAACTTCAGCAAGTTGATAGCATGATAATTCGTGCAACATTGAGTGCTCCCTTTTCCACTTTAGCAGTGATAGCACAAGTGCATCCTTCAGCTCGTTGAGACACCTCCTCCTCAATCCACACGTGTTGCACCAAGTGGTAGCAGCGCAGCTACCAATGCGGGTCCGCCCGTATTTCAACACCTTCAGGTGAGATCACGTCAGGAAATGGTACATTTACCATCTCGCAGCTGAACAAATGCTCCCGAATCGCACCCAGAGTCGGGTGTGTCGCCCGAGACACGTCATCTTAAGCTATTAGAGTCCGTACAAAGTAGGACAATCTGTTGAAACGGTTGTTCAAGAAAGTCAAACTGCGTTAGTCCACATCTGCCTTTTATCTAGTCTGTGCGCAGGTAGCGCCTGAATTGGCACCCCACTAAGCGATCCTCAGAGGTAACAACGTGGCCTCATACACCACCAGCAAGGAGACAAAGAATCCCTTCACTTGGGTGGCGTTCGGCAGGGCATTTCATCTTCTACGCCTTCGCCAGTTTATCATGTATTTTTAATGCGACGGAGATCTCGAGTCAAGCGCAGCCGTAATTTGCGAAAATGACTCTTATTTCTGCACCGTCAAGGTCACCCACATGCACACAGAACGTTGCATTCTTTTCCGACATAAACGCAGTCAATGGTCGCACGGTTGTCATCTAATTAATCGGGTCGCGTACAATTTGCTCGTCCGGTTGTTTCTTCGGCAGCAGGAGTCACCTGCTCACGGACGTGATGCCACAGGCTCGCTTACTGAGGCCATGGATCGGAATCGCATATATCTATATATATATATATATATATAATATAAAAGACAGGTGGCGATTGAATGGTGAATGAGCAGCACGTAGTTAGCCTAATGCGGAAGGGAGCGCAGAATAAGTAAGTAAAAATAATGAGTAATTTGCCACGAGAGAGATCCAAATGTCAATTGGTAGTAGGGCATCGGAAAGGTTGGATGCAAACATTCTAAGCGAATAAAGGTTGGAGAGATAAGCAGTGGCTCCTAACAAGCTCCGGATATGCGCAGAGATGCATGGAGCCTACGACCACTAGCTGCTGCTAAACATGACTTCCGAACTTAAGACCATCGACAGATACTGGCGCTAGAAGTGACTATCAGTGCACATATGTAGCCATTCCATTAAGATGTTTGGTCACTAGTGGATACCTACAATGTCATAGAATGCATCAAAAAATCAGCGATAGTAAGTGATACAGACATTCCAAGAAAGATATGACTGAGACAAGGGGTTGTATCCTAGCAAGCTGCAGAGATGCATGGAGCCTACGACGAATCGCTGCAAATAGGTGAAGATAAGAAGCGCAACAGATAGTGGCGCTGGGGGACTAGCGTATCGGTGGCCAGCAACGGCAATTGGGATTAAGCCAGCTAATTACCAGTGGCTACCTACAGTGACAGAATAAGTCAAGAAACCAGGGAGGGTATGTGATGCAAACCATACAAGAGAATGTAAGTTGGAGAGATAAGGAGTGGCTCCTCGTCGGCGGCCATGCACAGATAGACATCAGCTTGTCAATCTCACTCGGATGCGTATCGCCCATCACACCTACGCGCACAAGCCGGCGCAGCGGTCTCCAAGTCTCTCGGTGACTCTCGTATAAAACGCTTCCGACTTGCGCTCCTCGTTGTTGTCTTCAGTAAACCGCTCCAAGATGAAGGTCTCCCTTTCTGTTACCGATTTTCCTGGAAAGTCTTGGCCAATGGCACGCGTGGGCTTCAGATAAATGCATCGGCCGACTCCGTCACTCGACGTAAACTCTTCCAGTTAGTTGAGGGCAAGTTCGCGATATACTCAGACCTGGCACGATTAATGGCGGTTGCATAGCAACGAAGCGTCCGTACGGTGTGCCGGCATACTGATTATCCTTTGTAGTTTCGGTCAGAGTTAGATCACTGAGTCCCAGATGGCTGTCTCCACAATTAGAAAAGAACGTGAATAGAGAATGGTACGGCAATGCTAAGACGTCGGTGTCTACATTGAACACAATAAGTAGTGGTCTAGTCGAACACGAGGAACCATCGCACTGTGTTTGTATGCCGGTTTTAATGAAGCGCATATCTGTTTTGTGGTGATTTTCATGATATGGTTAACTTTGAACAGTAGACCAACAAGGGTCGGCTTCTCCTGAACCGAAGTTGTTCGAGCTCATTTCCCCACAGCATTGAGGCGCTTTATGAAATGCAACGAAAAACCGTTTAGCTGTAGTGTGTCGGATTCAGTTTTCCGCTGTTCTCTAGTAAGTCGGAGTTGAAAACTAGTTGGTCTCGATGGAACATTGTCCGGAATACATGACACACGTGTTGTATCCTTGGGAAGCTCTGAAAAGATATGCACTAAGCCGTTCAGGTCCTTTTACACTAGACTTGTTTTGGTGAAACCATTCGGTTGTTAAGGGGGGGGGGAGACATATCCATGTAAGGGAGACAACCACAGTGCACAGTTTAAAAAGTTCAGGCCACATCGGGTACACACTGTTGAGTGTCCCATCTTCACGCATGATGTCCGCAGCCGAATCCATAACGAGTACCATGATAGCGCTTACATAACGTCGCGCCTCTGATGATATCAACTGTTTTCTCCTCAAGGATATTCAGAAATACGTCTGCTAGCAATTGGCCCAGTGGGACTGCCATTGCCACACTATCTGTAGGTATGCCTTTTCCTTGAAAGTAAAACACTGTGTTTCGTATGCACATGAGCATATTTCTTAATATTTCCGTAGGGAGAGACAGAAGAGTTATGTGAGCAGCAAAGAATTTGTAATGATGTGAGTAAGAAAGCATGCAAATAGGTAGGATGAGAAGAAAGTCCTCCAGTAGTGATGATTCACTGTATGGTAATTGCCTTAACTGAAGGGTATTTGTTCATCTCGAGCCTGAATATGCCCAAGTGTGATTACCCTACATGTGCTAGCAGGATATGCGCGGTTGGCTTAGTTTTTAGGGTAAGAGCTACAACCGCCCACATTCTTTTGTGAGTATAGATACACCACCGGACATCAAGCTTCCGAAAGGAGCCAACTCTGGTCCTAACAAGGATGTTAAGTTAGAACTGTAAAGGAGAGACAGATGTAAAAAGGTGAAAAAGCGAGTGGCAAAGTCTGTCACCGTATACAAAACTCAAAAGCAATAAGTGGGAAGTTGTAACAGGAATTAGCAAAGTGGGGAAAATGAGCAAGAAGTAGTCAAAAACACGAATAAATTTTAACCAAACAATTGGACACTACAGAGTTGTTAAAGGGAGATCACCGGGGTCGGTAACCAGTGAAACAAAGTAATGTCAATCGGTGAAAAGAAGAACATCAGATAGATGGTTGTTTTAAACTTATAAAAACTACCTGAATGGCCCAGTGGAATGAGTATCACAAAACGAATAACGAGCTACCTGAGAAAGTGCATCCCCTGGCCATCAAGAGACTTACTATTGTCGATCCGGAATGTTTAAAGTAATGCTACCCTCTGCATTTTCGCCAAATTTCAAAAAGCCAAAGAAAGCCAAAGAAGCGTTTGCGCAAATGATAATAATCATGCCCAAATTGAGTACGCCAGTCAACTTCGCGTAACTCTCAGGGTGAGACATTCTGCTCTGAATGGGAAGAACCTGCAGAAACGAAGCAACAAGTAGCTGTGAGTGAGAAATACTCCTAGATGAAAGGATTGACAAACGGTAAAGCGAACAACTCTGTACTTAAGCGCCTCAGAAAATGAGGGTAAAATACATGGCTCGTTGGAGAAAATAATTAAAGGCCCATTGCAGGATGACCCATAGATCGAAAAATACAATGTAGTGTGGGAACACGTAGGTTTGATAGATGACTCAGTTCCCACACTACATTGTATTTTTCGATCTATGGGTCATCCTGCAATGGGCCTTTAATTATTTTCTCCAACGAGCCATGTATTTTACCCTCATTTGCTGAGGCGCTTAAGCACAGAGTTGTTCGCTTTACCGTTTGTCAATCCTTTCATCTAGGAGTATTTCTCACTCACATCTACTTGTTGCTTCGTTTCTGCAGGTTCTTCCCATTCAGAGTAGAATGTCCCACCCTGAGAGTTATGCGAAGTTGACTGGCGTACTCAATTTGGGCATGATTATTATCATTTGCGCAAACGCTTCTTTGGCTTTCTTTGGCTTTTTGAAATTTGGCGAAAATGCAGAGGGTAGCATTACTTTAAACATCCCGGATCGACAATAGTAAGTCTCTTGATGGCCAGGGATGCACTTTCTCAGGTAGCTCGTTATACGTTTTGTGATACTCATTCCACTGGGCCATTCAGGTAGTTTTTATAAGTTTAAAACAACCATCTATCTGATGTTCTTCTTTTCACCGATTGACATTACTTTGTTTCACTGGTTACCGACCCCGGTGATCTCCCTTTAACAACTCTGTAGTGTCCATTTGTTTGGTTAAATTTTATTCGTGTTTTTGACTACTTCTTGCTCATTTTCCCCACTTTGCTAAATTCTGTTACAACTTCCCACTTATTGCTTTTGAGTTTTGTATACGGTGATAGACTTTACCACTCGCTTTTTCACCTTTTTCACATCTGTCTCTCCTTTGCAGTTCCAACTTAATGTGCTTGTTAGGACCAGAGTTGGCTCCTTTCGGAAGCTTGATGTCCGGCGGTGTATCTATACTCACAAAAGAATGTGGGCGGTTGTAGCTCTTACCCTAGAAACTAAGCCAACCGCGCATATCCTGCTAGCACATGTAGGGGAATCACACTTGGGCATATTCAGGCTCGAGATGAACAAATACCCTTCAGTTAAGGCAATTACCATGCAGTGAATCATCACTACTGGAGGACTTTCTTCTCATCCTACCTATTTGCACGCTTTCTTACTCACATCATTACAAATTCTTTGCTGCTCACATAACTCTTCTGTCTCTCCCTACGGAAATATTAAGAAATATGCTCCTGTGCATACGAAACACAGTGTTTTACTTTCAAGGAAAAGCATACCTACAGATAGTGTGGCAATGGGCATCCCACTGGGCCAATTGCTAGCAGACGTATTTCTGAGTATCCTTGAGGAGAAAACAGTTGATATCATCAGAGGCGCGACGTTATGTAAGCGCTATCATGGTACTCGTTATGGATTCGGCTGCGGACATCATGCGTGAAGATGGGACACTCAACAGTGTGTACCCGATGTGGCCTGAACTTTTTAAACTGTGCACTGTGGTTGTCTCCCTTACATGGATATGTCTCCCCCCTCAACAACCGAATGGTTTCACCAAAACAAGTCTATTGTAAAAGGACCTGAACGGCTTAGTGCATATCTTTTCAGAGCTTCCCACGGATACAACACGTGTGTCATGTATTCCGGACAATGTTCCATCGAGACCAACTAGTTTTCAACTCCGACTTACTAGGAACAGCGGAAAACTGAATCCGACACACTACAGCCAAACGGTTTTTCGTTGCATTTCATAAAGCGCCTCAATGATATGGGGAAACGAGCTCGAACAACTTCGGTTCAAGGGAAGCCGACCCTTGTTGGTCTACTGTTCAAAGGTAACCATATCATGAAAATCACCACAAAACAGATATGCGCTTCATTAAAACCGGCATACAACCACAGTGCGATGGTTCCTCGTGTCGACTAGACCACTACTTATTGTGTTCAATGTAGACACCGACGTCGTAGCATTGCCGTCCCATTCTCTGTTCACGTTCTTTTCTAATTGTGGAGACAGCCAAGCTGGACTCAGTGATCTAACTCTGCCCGAAACTACAAGGGATAATCAGTATGCCGGCACACCGTACGGACGCTTCGTTGCTATGCAACCGCCATTAATCGTGCCAGGTCTGAGTATATCGCGAACTTGCCCTCAACTAACTGGAAGAGTTTACGTCGAGTGACGGAGTCGGCCGATGCATTTATCTGAAGCCCACGCGTGCCATTGGCCAAGACTTTCCAGGAAAATCGGTAACAGAAAGGGAGACCTTCATCTTGGAGCGGTTTACTGAAGACAACAACGAGGAGCGCAAGTCGGAGCGTTTTATACGAGAGTCACCGAGAGACTTGGAGACCGCTGCGCGGCTTGTGCGCGAAGGTGTGATGGGCGATACGCATCCGAGTGAGATTGACAAGCTGATGTCTATCTGTGCATGGCCGCCGACGAGGAGCCACTCCTTATCTCTCCAACTTTCATTCTCTTGTATGGTTTGCATCACATACCCTCCCTGGTTTCTTGACTTATTCTGTCACTGTAGGTAGCCACTGGTACCTAGCAGGCTTAATCCCAATGCCGTTGCTGGCCACCGATACGCTATCTCCCAGCGCCACTATCTGTCGCTGTTCTTATCTTCTTCGCCTCTTTGCAGCGATTCGTCGTAGGCTCCATGCATCTCTGAAGCTTGCTAGGATACACCCCTTGTCTCAGTCATATCTTTCTTGGAATGTCTGTATCACTTACTATCGCTGATTTTTTGATGCATTCTATGACATTGTAGGTATCCACTAGTGACCAAACGTCTTAATGGAATGGCTACATCTGGCCACTGATAGTCACTTCTAGCGCCAGTATCTGTCGATGGTCTTAAGTTCGGAAGTCATGTTTAGCAGCACCTAGTGGTCGTAGGCTCCATGCATCTCTGCGCATATCCGGAGCTTGTTAGGAGCCACTGCTTATCTCTCCAACCTTTATTCGCTTAGAATGTTTGCATCCAACCTTTCGGATGCCCTACTACCAATTGACATTTGGATCTCTCTTGCGGCAAATTATTTGTTATTTTTACTTACTTATTCTGCGCTCCCTTCCGAATTAGGTTGGCTACGTGCTACTCATTCACCATTCAATCGCCACCTGTCTTTTATATATATATATATATATATATATATATATATGCGATTCCGAATCCATGGCCTCAGTAAGCGACCTGTGGCACCACGTCCGTGAGCAGGTGACTCCTGCTGCCGAAGAAACAATCGGACGAGCAAATTGTACGCGACCCGATTAATTAGATGACAACCGTGCGACCATTGACGCGTTTATGTCGGAGAAGAATGCAACGTTCTGTGTGCATGTGGGTGACCTTGACGGTGCAGAAATAAGAGTCATTTTCGCAAATTACGGTTGCGCTTGACTCGAGAGCTCCGTCGCATCAAAAATACATGATAAACGGCGAAGGCGTAGAAGATGAAATGCCATGCCGAACGCCACCAAGTGAAGGGATTCTTTGTCTCCTTGCTGGTGGTGTATGAGGCCACGTTGTAGCCTCTGAGGACGCTAGTGGGTGCCAATTCAGGCGCTACCTGCGCACAGACTAGATAAAATGCAGATGTGACTAACGCAGTTTGACTTTCTTGAACAACCGTTCAGAGATTGTCCTACTTTGTACGGACTCTAATAGCATAAGATGACGTGTCTCGGCGACACACCGACTCTGGGTGCGATTCGGAGAGCATTTGTTCAGCTGCGAGATGGTAAATGTACCAGTTCCGACGTGATCTCACCTGAAGTGTTGAAATACGGCGGACCCGCATTGGTAGCTGCGCTGCACCACTTGGTGCAACACGTGTGGATTGAGGAGGAGGTGTCTCACGAGCTGAAGGATGCCCTTGTGCTATCACTGTACAGTGGAAAAGGGAGCACTCAATGTTGCACGAATTATCATGCTATCAACTTGCTGAGTTGTATGAGGAAGGTGATCGCACGAATCCTTATCAGCCGCCTCGTCAGTCAGGTAGTGGAACCGAACGTGGCGGAAGAGTAATGTGGGTTCCGTTCGTGTCGCAGCACCAGAGATATGGTGTTCGCGGTTCGTCTGTTGCATGAGGAGTCCAGAGAGCGACACCAGCCATTGTACTCGCTGTTTGTTGACTTCCCTAAGGCATTTGGTACGGTGAACTGCGAAGCATTGTGACGTGTTGGGTAAGTTTGGTTGTCCGCGAAAGTTTGTAAGTTTAATTGTATGTCTGTACAGCGGTATGCGGGCGAGGATGCAGCTGTGTGAACAAACCTCGGATGACTTTTTTGGTGTGAAGCATGATTCTGTCTTATCGTCATTATCAGCCATTTGAACTCGTGGTTCGCTGCCATGCAACTATATCTACCTACGGTATGAGAAAAAATTGAGGAAGAGGGACTTATCAGAAAATCTTAATACCCTAAGCAAACACTCATAGTCACGACCCCTACAGCTTGTGAAGAACATTCCACCACAAACAGCTGGGTATCATTCAATAATAATGCGACAGCGGCGACGCAGCTTCCTTACAGCCTTTTACTGCCCCGCGTTGTAATCAACCATTAACCCGCAGAGTACTCAGCACCAGACACATTTTAAACTGGCAGTCCGACTCAGAGACGGCAGCAGACGCGCCACTGGTGTCGGTTACGAGCAGTATCCTGTAAAGTCTCGAGCCAAGCACAGAGCCGGTCACCTGCATTCCAGTCTGGAAGGCGGGACGGGCAGACGGCCCCGAGTTGGGTCTTCTGTGACATCATTTCCCGCTGCCAAGTTAATTTTCGCTCACCTCGGACCTTGGGTCATCCTACTTCTGTTAAACAAAACTAGGCCCTTCTTGGTAGACGAGGATCAGGCATACATGATACGCTCCCAAGCCAACGCAACTTATTCAGTGCTATCTGTTTATCTTAGGAACTGGCCTTGTTATCACTGCCGAGTACTCGCTTATGCACATCATTGCTGACATGCTGGTGCTATCCGACACCAGCAATGCTTCGCAGACAACGATGATCAAAGACTTGTAATCGGCGCAGGTCCTCAAATCAGAGGGGCTACGTCTAGCTCCCATAGGGTATGACGGCACTTGCTGTGGCTGTGTATGCACGGTCTTTTAGTCGAAACTCCTGATGCCACAAATGTCGCAGGTTCAAAAAAGCACTTCTAGCTCTTGCTATACATGAACTGACTTCAATTTCTATGCGTCCATTGTTGCTGGTTCGGCTGCAAAGTTAGTGAATAGGTTAACTACTTCGAGTTTCACACTATCAAAGCTCAAGGGATTATTGGGTGGTCCTGCAGCAAAACTGCGCTTTAAAGTTGCGATACGCATGCCAAGTAATTAGACCACTTTAGAGAGGTTATTCAGGGTTGAATGTGCCGCCCCAACCTCGTTTAACAACAAGACGATCTCGTTCGCTTAATGAATATCAACAAGCCTTTCACCGAGCAGCATCTTGATGCCTGCATCGCGATACTCCGTAAGGGAACACTCCA